TAGTTATGTGTCATGGTTTTGGAGCTGGATTAGGATTTTTTTATCGTAATTATCATGCTCTTAGTCAAGTTCCAGGTTGGAGAATATATAGTATTGATTGGCTGGGAATGGGTAGAAGTTCTAGACCAAAATTTAACGTGAAAGGAAAAACAGTCGATGAAAGTGTTGAAGAAACTGAGAATTTCTTTATAGATTCGCTTGAAAAATGGCGACAAATACATAAAATTGAAAAAATGACATTGTTAGGTCACAGTTTAGGAGGTTATTTAGCTGCCGTATACGCACTGAAATATCCAGAGCATATTGAAAGATTAATAATGGTTTCTCCTGTTGGAGTCCCTGTTAATCCTTATGAAGAATTAAAATCAACAACAACATCAACTACCACCACCACTACATCATCACCACCACCATTATCACCAGGAAATGGTGTACGTCAAATGCCAAAATGGATAGAAAAATTATGGAATGCTAATCTTACACCACAATCTATTCTTAGGTGGACAGGTCCGTTTGGACCAACACTAGTTAATCAATACACCACACGTCGATTTTCTCACCTTGGCGAGATAGATAGGATTGACCTACATGATTATCTTTATCATATTTCTTGTGCGCCAGGTAGTGGTGAATATGCCTTATCAAGAATTCTTGCTCCTGGAGCTTATGCAAGAAAACCATTAATTCATCGATTAAATAAATTGAAAATGCCTACCACTTTTTTATGTAAGTGTTGTTATTAATATTAAATAATAAGAGTTTTTCTTTTAACGACAAAAATGTATTTTTCCATATGCATATAGATGGACAAGACGATTGGATGGATCATCGTGCAGCAGAAGCAGCCGTTAAAACAATGAATGTTCCTACAAAGGTTATAATTATTCCCGGTGCAGGTCATCATATACATCTTGATAATTCTATAGACTTTGATAAGGCCGTTGTAAAAGAAATGTTAGAGTCATCATCGTAACTACGAATGTTCGTTGCCATTTTTTTACATTCAGTTTGATTTTTGATTTTATTGCTATTTGTAATTATTATTTAGGATCTATATATAAGGAGAGTAATAAAAAATAAATTTATTTGGCAAGAATGTAGATCATTTCCACTGGAAGAATTATATTTTGAGCAAGTGACCAAGAAGAAAATTTAAAAAATAATTACATATTTGTCCTTTCTCACACTTGCAGAAATTTTATAAGCTTTTATTATGTCAAGTAAAAGAAAAAAGAAATAATTTTTTTGTTGTTGTTAAGAATGATTCAAATAAATCAAATTCGAAGGCTGTTTGCATTTGTTGTATGCAAAAGGTTAGAGATATAGCCATTGCACAAAATAACATTACTATCAATAAAGCAAGACAATCCTGTTAATTGTGAAAATTTTAAGTCAAATTATGCTGATGAAAAAAGTTCAAGAAATTTTATACCCGAAGACTTAAAAATTATAAAATTTTTCTTCCAGTAAAGTAAGGAAAAAAATTCAAGGATATATTTAATTCCATGACATCTTTATTTTTCAAAAGTAAATTTTTTGGGAATGATATTGTTTAATTTTATATGACCAATGAAGCATTGCCAATCGGCTAGTCGTAGCCGCGACTAGGGATGGGAAATTCAAATTCCCACCATATGCGGACGATTTCTGGGTAGCCTGGCGAGGGATAAATATAAATGCACGAATATATCTGATCACCTGGTCCGTAGATCTTGAGTGAATTATCCGACCGATACCCAAAGACCGATAAGCTTGATAAGGGGGATATCCCTCTTATGTTTTCCCAGGTTGAGGCTCTATCCCTACGAACTGAGGGATAAAGGTGTAATCTTTCGGAAATATTAAACATATGGGGACTTTTTTCAATAGAAATGGATCATGTTGTGAAAAAAGCAATTTTGAGTTAATACCATCACTATAAGTAACTCCTCACATAGAACATTTTTGAATTAGAAACCTACCCACTTTGCATAGTAAAATATCAAGATATTTTTCTTTAAAGTTTCAAAAACAATAGTGAACCCTTTTCACAACATGGTCCATTCCTATTGAAAAGCCCACATATTAGATGTGTTGCACATAATATTCAAATATCTGTAAAAAAAAAGGGTTTATATCAACCAAGATTTTCATTAAAAAAGTAAGGAGATTAAATAAGTTTGCAGTCAATAGAGATAAATGTAGAGAAAAACTACAAGAAATATATGTGGGTTATCTAAAGTAATTAATTTAATGATGTAGATGCAAGTGATGATGGAGGCGATGTTGATATTGATTTGGATAGTCAAATTAAAAACCTTGAGCTGATTAAAGATGTTCCAACTCATTGGAATTCTACTTACCAGGTCATGGATAGATTGCTTATCCAAAAGATTCATTGGAGGTTTACAAAAATGTCTAGTAAAAGATCCAACAAAGGGTGCACATGAAGATGGTAAAAAATTATTATTAAATGAAAATTAATGGTTATTAAAAATTATTAAAATTATTAAAAAATTTGCAGAAGCAACTGAACTGCTTGGTGGCAGTAAATATCTGACTTTATCATTTACTTATCCAATAATTCATAACTCTAAAAGATATTGAAGTTGAACCCAGGATACAGACTGCAAAAATGTTGCATAAAACAATTTGGGATTCTATGAAATCAAAATGGGAAGAACCAAAGGACATTGGATTAATCAGCTCATTTTTAGATCCTCATTTTTAAAATGTTAAATTTCGTTTCTAATGTAAAATTTTAATAATCAAAAAGCAAATAGTAAATTGAGTTATATTTAGAAATTCCAGAAAATGTGAGTCCTTTAGAATGGTGGAAAATGCAAAAAGCAACTTTTACAAAGTTATCAAACTTATCGAGAAAATACCTAGGAATACCATTATCATCTGTTCCCGCTGAACGTGTCTTTTCAACTGCTAGAAATTTAATCATAAATAAAAGAAATCGTTTGAATCTATCAACAATTAAAAATGTAATTTTCTTAAAAGAAAATTTACAAAAACTTCAAATATATCAAAGGAATTGTAAATAAATTCAAACTATTTTTCTTAATATTTATAAATAAAGCCCTTTATCAAATTTTAAAATTAATAAATCGTTAGACATTTTGAAGTGTTGAATTAAGTCGTAATTGCTACAAAGGTAGTTTTTGGTCAACTTGATTATGGCGAGTTCAAGTTAACTTTTCATTTACTCTGCTTGCTTATACCTAGAAAGCTTCGATGAATCTGTAAGCAGGTTTTACAGTAGTGGTTGTATCCGCCGAGTGATATTCACCAATTAATCGGGTGTTGAAAATTTTCACCAAATAGTTGGTGAATAATCGAAAAATTTTATCCACGTAATTAATGTAAATGATATTTTATCACTATTACATTATTTAATGACAGCCAAACGAACATATCAGCTGATTTGGTTTTTTGGGCCTTTTTTCAAACCTTATGTCTTATTGTGTCTCGATGTTAAACACGAGTATTTTAATGTGTAAACTGGTCGGTAGAATGATAATTACCCTAAAAAAAATTATTTGCTCCGCTAAAAAACTAATTTACTATCCATCAACCCGTCAAACCAATGGCTCCACCTCAAAACCAATGGGTTTTTACTGGTATAAAGTATTCATAATGTTATGATCACACCGTACTGAATTTTGGGGATCAAACAAAATCAGCGCATATGACAAAATTGAACCCATTATTATTTGAAAGAATTTTATTTCTTAAAAAAAATATGCAATGTGTGTGTTGAAAATATTTTTCTTGATCTTGATGAATAAAAATTTATTATATTTTTCCTGATGAATAAAAAATTTTTTTTTAAATAAATTTAATATTTAACGGATATTCGGCGGATATTCGGTGAATGACCAATTATCCGGATAATCGACGGATACAACCACTACTTTACAGCACAAATAATAATGAATTACAACATTAACTTTCTGCCTCTACTCCCAAGCAAGGCGTCGAATTATTAATGTTAATTCCCTTATTGATTAATTATCTTTAAAAATTATTTTTGTTCCATTAATAGAAAGAAATAAATAGTAGTTAGTATGTATATATGTAAAAAAAAATGAAAAGGCTATATCACATGTCCGACATACGATTGGGCGGCACCCATTCATTTTATTTATCATACCATTTTAATTGATATGTTAGTGTAGTGCTAGGGTACGTATTTAGAGTCCAGTCACTGCTGAAATCCAGAAAAAAATCTAGCCAACTATTTACGACTTATAAACCTCCAGTCAACTTGCAACACTAGTATACACGTATATAACTTGTATTTAATTAAAAATATCAAATATATAAAATGAAGAAATTTACAAATTTTATGGTCTAAATTACAGTTATCAAATAAATCACGAAAAAATAATTGAATGAATTCAAGTTAGTCTATAATAGATAATTTATTTGATATAAATAACAATACGAGCTTCCATGACTTTATAAACCGGAAGCAAGTAAGGTATACTTGACATGGATCATAACTACTTTTACATGCTGTAATGGAGTCAAAATCTAAGAAGTGTGTGTCTTGTTGAAAAGAATCCCTGCACCTCAAATAAATACTTCCAATGACTTTAGACCCATTCGGTTTAACAATACTGATGACAAAGAAGAATATTTATATATTGCTGATAATAGATATTTTTCTTATTAAACATGTTAATTAGGAATGATCTACTACAAAAAAATTATCATGATAAAAAATATCCAAATTTGAATAGATCTATATACTTTTGTTGTTTGTGTGCGTAAATAATTACCATATAATTATTTACACATTTTTTTAGAAAAATCGGGATTCTTTTTTTAATCGTAAGAAAAATTTTTTTCCTTCAAAAAAAAAAACATTAAAAATAATAATGATAATATTAATAAGCAAAAGGTTGTTTAGAACATGTAGTTCACGTCCATTTTTTAAGATATTTTTTACAATATGCATAATTTTATCAATTAAAATCTCAACAAGAGTGTTTGCTTATCAAGAATTAATGTTTACTGAACCAACAGGATATCAACCATTATATCCCGTAAATGTGGTGGCGTCAACTTACTCAGATGAAACTGTTATTGTTAGATTATCAAATAAATATTCATGCCCAAATGCACCAAATATATTTGCTATTAGAATAATATATCAGAATGGCACAACTAGTGGATTCAATTTGGCGAATTTCACTTTCCCAGAATTAAATTTTTGTCCAATTGATCGAATCGATATTTTTTCATTGCCAGGTAACTAATTATAATTGACAAGCAAAAAAATTTGATGATCTTTGATTTATGAAAAGGAATTTATTTTAAAATTAAAAATTAAAACATTGTAGATGATATGTTATTAGTTAGATATCAACAAATTATTAATGATCCACCTAATTATATACAATATACGGGCCTTGTTGTTTCTATGGATGGGAAAATCATGGATTCGTAAGTTATTTTTACACTCTAGAATCAAAAATATTATTTAAAATAAATAAATATCTATTATATGTCATTTCTATTATAGAGGGGTACAATTAGGATCACCAATTAGCCTTGAAAATATTAATAAATTTCAAACAAGACTTGTCACATCAAAATTTACATCAAATTCAAATGAAATTATACTGTCTGCAATATTTAATCAATCAGTTATTCAATGGATAAAATTAGATTGGGATAGTAAAAGGTATAATAATGCCGTATAAAATCGTTTGAATTTAAATAATATATTTTTAATCAAAATTTTTTTAAATTTAATTTATTTAATAGTCAAAAATTGAATAAAAATTCAGATGGAGAAATCACCCCCACAAATGAAGAACAAATAGATGACCTTGAATTGTTTTCAACAATTGGTGGAGGTTATGGAATACTTTTTTCAACAAGTCTAAAGATTCAATCAACATTTCCCACTAATCCAACTAGTTTTGATAGTTTTACTAAACCTCAATCACTCATTTATTTTTCAAAAATTTTACCAAATCAAATAAAATCTACGAATTCCACACTAGTTTATCATAATGCCATTCCGCAAACAAGACTTGTGATAGGGTCGTGTCAGGCATCTTTAAATGGAAACATAGGGAATAAATGTTCAGTAAATGGTGGAAATTCAGTACTTAAGAAGGATTTTTGGCTTATTATTTCTTTTTATTCCACAGGATCTGTCAAAGAATATAAAGATTTACCAGGATTTCAAGTTGTATATAAGGAATCCTTACCATATCATGTTAAATTTAATCAAAGTTTTGGATTGTATAGTGGGGATTTTTTGATGACAGGAGCAATTAGCGCGACTAATAATATTACTGGAACGATTTATGATGAAAATGGAAATTTTATAAAAGAATGGGGATTGCCGTCGCTTGAAGGATATAATTTTGATATTTTAAAGAATAATACAGTAGTGGCCACTTTACCTGAGCAAGATAATAGTGGAAAATCGTGGTATATTTATACTACAGATGATTTATCTTCATCATTGGTGAAGCATAATGGTAAGGTTGGGAGAAGGGTGGAAAAGGTCATTTTGAATTGAATGGTTTAAAAGTTAAAAAATATTAATATTTGTAGATAACATATACAAGAATTTGAATATTAAATCAACTTTTCCGCCTATAAATTCCACGATACCACTTCGTACAGCATCAATTAATATAACATTTCAAGGACCAGTTGCACTTTCCAGTGGAAACATTAGCATATATCAAAGGATTGGAGGAGGTGGTGGTGGTGGTGGTTATAATTATTATGGTGATCACAAAAACCAAGATCTATTGCGTCAAATATTTGATGGCACTTCAGCTTACTGTAAAACTTCAAAAGATGGATTATTGGTGACTATTGATGTATTTTTAAGCACGTTTAATCAACCACAAAGTGAATACTATGTACAAGTTGATGGGAATTTTGTAAAAGACAAATCATTTGATGAACCACTATTAGGTATTGGAAAAAGAGTTTGGAATTTTAATACTGGAAATCTTGATAATAATGAATTTACAGGTATTTTATCATTATTTATTATTATTATTTTATTTTTAAATAAAAATTAACAAAATAAATAGATACAATTTCTAATAATCATTTGAATTTAAAATATAGAGAGTATAAATATTTTATTGAGTCTTACACCCATTGCAACCTTGGAATTTGAAAGTTTTACTGATAATCAGATAATAGAATACTTTACTAATTTAACTTTAGCATTGTCTGGTTCCATTCCAATTGAAGTTGAAAGGTTTAAAATAAATCCAAAATGGCAATATGATGGAATGAAAGAGCCTAAACAAATATTATTTTCAATGGAAATCTTGTCAACATCAAACCTATCAGAGCCTAACTCCAAACAAGTATTTAATGATTTTGAAACAATGTTGAAATTAAAAAATCAAACTAAATTAATACAATATGGGAGTATAAATTGGTTAGATGAAAATCATGGAGTTGTTATAATTAGTAAGATTTCATGATATTTTTTTTTGTATATATATTCGTGTGCAAGCTATTAATAAAATAATTCAATATATTTCATATATAGGATATATTTGGGAAGAATATAGATATCAAATAGCAGGTTTTATATGTGCTTTATTTATGTTATGTGTATTAGTATTTTTAGCACATAATAGCTATCCACAGGCAAGGGGACTATTTCTTTCTATATAATTATTTAATAATTAAATAATATATTAATAATATATATATGTGCGTTATTAATAGGGAAATAATATGGCATTATTTAAATTTATTTTGATAATGGCAGATTTTACATTAGATATTTTATTTATAATATATAATGGTAAAGATGTACCAAGGTTGTTTTTTCCAAGGTAAAGTTAATTTTCAAGTTAACTTTCAATTTATGCATCATCATCAATAATAATATAGTAATATATATTTTTATTAATATTTAAATTTTATTATTTTAAAAAAAAAAGTATGGTAATAATTTTATCATCATCAGCGGTGAATTTTTTTGTGGCAATGTTTGTTTTTTTAAGAGAATTTTATAGCAATACAAAATTTTATATGTATAGTAAAGACAATAAGTTTATAACGATACTATTTATGATATTTGGATATGTTGATTTAGTTTCTTTAGAATTATTCGATTCTAAATCAGCAAATCAGAAAATTTTTCAGGCTAACTTTACACCAATAGCAAAAAATTTAATTTATATTGGAAGTTTAATTGGTTTGATGATTGAAGATGCAGCTCAATTGACTATTCAGGTAATAATATTGGCATTTACAATTATTTAAATATATATTACATTAATTAATTATAATTATTATTATATATATAGATAATCTATTTAATGAATGTAGTAATATATAAATTTGTACCATTGTTAACTATTACAACGTGTTCATTAATAATATTGACAAACGTTATAGGTAAAACATATGATTGTATTCGTAGTATTAGAAAAAGATCGTGGTATAGACCACAATCCAATCAAGTTGGTGATTATAATAATAATAATAATTCAGGCAAAAATTATTTGGTTGAAGGGCAAGAAGCTGAACAACTGTTTACTAGATGGTGGGAAATTGGTAATGATAATAATAGTTACAATAGTAATATTGGTGGTAGTAATGGAATTAACAAGAATTTTCAAATTAAAGGAATATTAAAGAATAATAATAATAACAATAATGATTGTGTTGTACATGGAGTAAATTTTAACTTTGAAGATTCTGCAGTGGCGACAACAAATTCTCAGATTGATGATGGGGCTGGAACAATGTTCGTTAAACATCAAAATTATAGTAAAATTGATATTAAAGATAAAAATGATGAGGATGAGGATGAGGACAAGGACAAGGAGGGTGAGGATGAGGATAATGAAGACAGGGAGGATGAATATGAGGATAATGAGGATGGGGATGGAGACGAGTATGAGGACGAGTATGAGGACGAGTATGATGATGATGATGATGATGATGATGAGAACGATAATAGTATTATTATAATAAATAAAATTAATGACAATGGTATATAACTAGAAATATTTAATATACTTTATTATAACAGTGACTTTCATCATTGGTGTAACTTAAAATATATAAACTTATATATATATATTTGTGGGCTTTCCATTTACCTAATCTACATAATTTACATAATAATCCAAAATTCAAATTGAGATTTAAAAAATAACAATAATTTTTATTTTTGAAATAAATAAATTAGGAATATGTCATTTTAGATATGCATGATTTTTTTTATTTAATAAAGTTTTTTTTATTTAAAAAAAATTTTTTTTTCTCATTTACAGTAGTCTAAAGAAAAGATCTGATATATATAAAAACACATTAACATCCGATGTGTTCATAAAGAACAAATGTATTATCACAATGGCCATATATTTTAAATCATTAGATATTAATATTACTATATATTCTAACTCTTTATGATATATATATTGCAATTCGCAAACACGCCCCGCCCGATTTTAGCTTCTCCGTGAGGAACAAGAACCAATATAAATTTGTACATATATAAATAGACATAACGTATAAATAGATATTCGTTAGTAGTGAAAGTATAATAACAAATCGTAGCAGCAAAATGTTTAAACCAAGTTATCAAAATATTCTCATTCGAAGATTGTCCTCAAAAGTAACTATCTTCCAAAGAAACTAACTGACCTACAAAATGTCCCTACCGTTGTCCTATATACAATGAATATTATTTTGAATACTGATAAAAACTTGTAAGAAATTAATTATTTTCTATATAATTTATGTATCCGCTGCTATATATTATATATATTAATATATTTTTTTCGATGTCATCCATCATAATGTTATTTTTTTATTAACGTTTGCCGTGTCACGATCTCCTTCCAAAACCCACAAGTCGTGCGACTTTCGTGCAGGTTTCTCGTTGATTGTCTCCTTTGCGTCTAGCCGCGCCTGGTCTTTTCGGTTCTTGGCGCGATCAACGTTTTCACCATATTTAGCAAAAAATGTGTCGTACGGCAAATGTTTTATAAACAAGGGAATCAGATTATACTTTTTCAAAGCAGAAACCCTTCAACTTTAGTATGGTGTACTTTCCACCAATGATAACCACTGGCTCTTATATCGGCCAAAAGATAATCCTACACATCCTCTTATTCAACATTGCCAACAAAGGATGATCCTTATTCTTATCATCCTATAGTTGGCTTGGTCTAAAGACCTCCTAAATTTTGGGCAAATTGTTCCTTTTTCAATGGTATACTGCCTTGACATCTTGTAATTATAATAACAATAATAATAATATTGATTACGCAAAGCAAAATATCAATCGTTCGTTGTTGGCGAGGATCTTATAATTACCCAGCAATGATCTGCTCCACGTTTTGATTCCAATTAAAATATAAACTAAATATATATATCAATACAAGTAAAAAATAGTACCTCTGGTTAGTTATTAACACGTCTTCGCGTTTTGCCATCTTGTAATAAATTGTTTTTCCAAGAAAAAAATCTATCGCGTCAACAAAAAAAATCACGTCAACAAAAAAAAATCTGTGCAACACCAAGTGCCAATAATAAATAATTAATGACGCGTTTGTCGATCAAATCAAACTTCTTTTTTATTTTAATAAAAAAAAAATATCATCAGGAAATGCTAAAAGAAGAATGGTGGTGGTGCAATATTGAAACACGTCGTCATTCTAGTTTCATTTAACCAATAAACTAGACAAAAGAGAACAAGAATTGAGGAACCTCGGCCGGCCAAATGGACCAGCTTGGTCCATAACGGAGTCTTTTTTCCTCTGGAGTACCACTGAATTGTCAAAACAATATGAAGACAATATGACAATTGCACTGAGTACATCAAAAAGCAATTACATAGACCCACGTATTTCTTTTGCGTGGTCTAAAAAGTATGAAATACCAATTGATAAGGTTTTTAACAAAAGCCTTCAGGAGAAATTCCAATGGGCATTAGATGTTGATGCAGATTGATAGGAATTTTTTTTTATTTTCTTGGAATAATTTAGATTTGTGGTAGTAAAGGATTTTATTATATTAATTTTAGATTATAACTATGAAAACTACAAATTTATATACTAAAGTTTAAATAGAATTATCAATTTTAAAATCATTTGTTTTTTGTAAAATTCCAAATTATATTTTTCAATTATTATTATTAATAGATTTTTTTCTCTGTCTTGCTGAATATCCTTTCTAGGAAAACAGCTTTCTATTAGATGTGTATATAAAATAAAATAAATTTTTTTGAATTATAATAACTTATAATCAATTTGTTTATCTTTCACAAAGCTCACTAATATTATATTTACCATAAAATAAAAAAACTACAATCAATAATAAATTATTTATTTTCCACTTCCAATTCTCCTCAAATAATGACATTGTTATTATTAATAAGTGCTGCAAATAAAACAAATAAAATATTAATATACATAAATCAATTTTATATTCTCAAAGAAAAAATGAAATTGTTAATAAATATTAACTATTATGTTTACAATTATTTTTATCTTTGTTATCAGCATTAATGTTATCATCGCCAATCAATGAAACTACTACTACATTAAATAATAATGGAAAATACTTTAACAAAATTAAAATTATTATAATTATTATTAAATTAAAAAAAAAAGTGATTACTGACACCCATAAAGTTGTAATATTGATCAATAAAGTATAATTTGATTATAAAACAAAATTTAAATAATCCTATTTATATTTAATATTAACACTTACTACACATTAATATTGTTTCATTCCCCCTTCCATATTATTAATAGATTGTCATGCTTCATTATTTTCAGATTCTATATTTAATAATAATAAAATTTGATTTAATTTATTAATTTATTAATTTATTAAATTGATGATAATTAATAATATTAAATCCAATATATTAAAATATTTTTCTTTGTAACCTTTTGAGTAGAAACTCCAATTAAATCTTGTGTTTTCATATTGTCTAATAATTATCAATATAAGCAAAAGCTAAACTATTGGTAAAACAATAATGCAAAAAAAATTCTTTGCTTTTAACCCCCCAAAGAAACTCACACAACCCATATATTCTCTGAAAGCTCTCAATGTATTTTAATTTAATCATTACATTCCTAAATATATATAATATATATTAATTGAAAATATAAAAATTGATACAAAAGTAAATATTGTATATTATAGAAAAAACATATTGCTATTACCATTACTGTCTTCAATATACACAATTGTTTTTTTGTGAATCTCCCTAAAACTTATTAACCAACACTTTGTAAAATATACTTTATCAATTATTCAATAGGTGGGATTGGTGTTTATTTGATGTAAAAATGAAATGCCATGTTAATATAAGTATTAAATAGATTTTTCAAAATTAATAGTTCTTTGCCTATTACTATTACCATATATTTTTGTATCTCACTAAGTACTTGATCAAATTGAGTGATCTTAGATTCAAAAGAATTCTATTTTCAAAAATTATTTATAGCAATGTTATTTAATATTGATTTTAAATCACAATTCATTGACATGTTTTGATAATCTAATTATTCTAATTGTTATTATTTATGTAGGAATAAATGTAAAAGAAAAATTTTAATTTATTGTTAAAATAAATGATTTGACATACCTAGCTAAGTGAACAAAACTAAGTATTCATAATAATGTAATTATTTGGACATATATTTCTACTTTTGCTTGCATTTGGACGCGCTAAACAAATTTCTATATAAAGGCAAAATTTGACTTTGAGGGTCAGATTATTTTTGGTTTTATTAACAAATTTTCCTTAAAGCAGATACATATAATAAAGAGGCTATATATTAGATTTGGTGGTGGTTGCTACATAGTGAAGGAGAGTATCAAGCAAGGATGTAAGCTATTCGATTATAAAATTTTTTACTATGTAAATTCGAATTTTACTATCATCTACTATAGAACTGTGGTGGCTATTTAATTCCAGTAATTTTTTTCAATAGAAATAATAAATAACGTTTATATAATATCAATTTTTGGAGAAATTGAAGGTTCTTTCATTGATGATGGTGATGTTGATTTGAAAACCTTTGTTGTATTTTTTGAAATCAGTGACAAATTCTTTTTTAAAAATTTTATTTTTCAAAAATATAAATAAAATACCATTAAAAACAAACGTTTAACTTCATTTTCTATACTTGATAATATCTTGTTTCTTTCTTTGCATTATTTGATGTATTAATTTCCTCTTTACTTTTGCTATTACTTGCATAGGTAATTGACAGTTTAAATAAATACAACAATAGAGGAAATTCTTGCAAGTAAATCAAACCTAATATTATAAATAATAATACTTTAGCTTTAAATAACTCTAATTTTTCCATTATTTTATTATAAAATCCTAAAATTGCTTTCACCGATAAATTGTTGATTTTATTATTATAATAATTGTTATCATCACTGCCATTATTTTTCACCTTTATAAAAAAATTGATTTTTTGAAGTTTATTTGTAAAGGAAAATGAACAAATAATTCGAATTAATATTAATAATATACAGGAT